TGGATAACAATTTGTTCACCACCCGACACGACTTGAGCGACAATGATGACCAGGACTGGAATCTTCCAGTCCCGCTGCTTGAAAGTCCCCCGCACGTACCTGATTCGTGGGTGGCACTGATCGATTGGATCTCGCGCGAACAAATCCTGAAGTTTGACACACCACACATCATCACGCCGCGATTGCTCGCACGTGACGACAACAGGCACTACAACACGTGGTACCTGGATAGTTGCCGTGGGCAGCACATGGTGGGCTCCGAGCGTTACATATCCAACGCTGTATCCACCCCCACAGTCACCTACGTCACTGTGGCGAACAACACACGCATGCGCGCAAGCGAGCAAGGCATCTTCGTTCTCAAGGCACGAGGGAGCAGGACACACATCACGCGAAACAATGTGCTAATCGTGCAGAACCTACGCTTTAACCTCCTCCCGGCGGCGCAACTCATGGATTGCGGAGTCGATCTCAGCACCAACCCCGAGACCGCGACATCCTGCTGCACTATATCGTGCTGAACAAGTCGTGCAAGCAGATCGGATGAGCTCACTTCTAGAACGGAGTTTACATCCTCGACTTAAATATTCCCGACTGCAGTGGCGACTTGAACAAGCTAATCGATCTCGTTCCACTGCGCTTCGAGCATATCCACCATTCAGAATGGAAGCACCCAAATGGAAGACCTTGGGTGCCACACCACCCGCACCCGCGCGAGTTGGCACTGCATGACCCTGACCCATATGGCATCTGCAGGTACTGCCACACACCAACTGCCTCGACAAACGCAATCGCTGGTCGCGGTTTCGTCGCCATCGCTGAAGCTGAGCGATCTGCGCCGCCAGAGGAAGGGATGTCAGCGCTGGAGCCAGAAGTGGCTTCCAACGCGTCTTCGGCCTCAACCAGAACCCCATCTCGGGTCCCCCCTCCCAGCGGCTCGAAGGAATCTTGCGCGGACAGCGTCGCGGAACTTTCGACGCGCGCGGAGTAGCGCAGCTCTACACGAAAGAAGAATTTCTGAAGCTATACCCCCACTGGCGCAACCTCACAAAGAAACTCACCATGGCGTAGGAAGGGGAGCTGGCGCGCCGCGAAGCCGAGAAGCTTCGTCGGACAAGCATCGCCGAAGCACACGACACGCTCACTTGCACTACTTGGGGGACAGAGGAGGAAAGTGCTTCCAACGAAGGGGGGTGGGGAAGCGCTGGCAGATGGGGAACGAGCGACACTGGCGGATGGGGCACCGCAACTGGTGGCGACTCAAGCGGCTGGGGCACTTCCGGTGAAGGTTGGAGCGCCTGGCGAGAAGAAAAGAGGGGGGGAACGGAAGAAGCTGAACCATCTGTTGTTCCCCTTGGCCGCCCTCCACGCCCTCCTGCACCTGCACTACCTCCGCCTGACGTCCAGCCGCACCGCGACCCCTGGGACACCATCGACTGGGACAATGAGCCCTCGACCCCACGTCGCACAATTTACGGGCCTGATCCCGAGCTGCGTGAACCTGCTTTTGTCCGCGTCACACCTCCGTCAGAACCTTGCTCGCCATCGCCGCCGCAAGACACTTATCGCTCTATCAAATCGATGTGAAAAACGCATTCCTCTATGCGTTAGTAGATGCGGTAGTCTACTTGGAGCAACCGCACGCATACGGCAAAGGGGACTCACGTGTGTGTCAGCTGCGAAAATCCCTCTACGGTATCAAACAGGCACCAAGGCTCTGGCAGCAGTACCTATACAACATCCTACTCTAGACTGGCTTCAAGGAGCTGCCCCACGACCCAGGGATGTACCGCCGAGACTTTTGCGGCGATTACACCATCCTCACAGTCTACGTCAACGACCTACTTTACACAGGATCAAGCAAAGACCTGCTCGAACAGTTCGAAAGGACCTAGCGATACGCGTCGACATCATCTGCAACCATGACGTGAAGCAGTTCCTTGGTTTTAACATCTCCTATGCGCCAGAAGCCATTTATCTTTCAGCAGCCAAGTACGCAGAGGAGTTTGGCAAACGCTTCAACATCACGCCTGCACCACTCTCCACCCCTTACCGCACTCCCGGACTGAAATCCTAACCTATTGCCCGACGGGTGACATGGCAGCGGACTTCCTCACGAAGCGACTGCCACGCCAGCAGTACCAGCACTGCTCCGAACTCAGCGGAGTAGTCAAATGGGTCAAGACTTGCTACAGCGAGGAATGAAGGGGGGTGTTACGAATAGTGAATTGAAAAACATTTCTGTGCATTCCTGCCAGAAGCAAGAATGGAGAAGATAGAAGAGAGTTTGAAGGCGAGGGGTCGAAGCGACGCGAAAGGTTGGAAAGCATCTGGACCGTCGGAGAAGTTAACATTGGTGCTGTTCTGTAGGCGTTAAATTTTGAAAATCCGGGTCCGCAGAATCTTCGCAGATAAGTGGGTTTCTGCCTATCAAGGTTTGGTGATAAGCGAAGTCCTGCCAAACCTGTTCGCGCCAAAGTTAACGCCTCTGCCTGCAGAACAACACTTTAGGGACGCAAAATTTTAAACGTTTGCTGGTTCGAAGTTGTTGCTTCACCGGGCAAATGGGCGCACAACTAGTGCGGTGCTGATTCTACCTCGGGAGCTAGCATCAGCCTCCGCACAAGTTATGCGGGGCAGCAACATCCGCGCAATGCAACCAGCATGAATGCACCTGGAAAATTCATGGAAGGTTAACGCGGTCGAATTGATGCGGAACCCTAAACGCCTACAGAACAACGCCATTGGGCAGTGGCACGCCATTGGGCAGTGGCAGAAGCAAGAAAAAGGCGGGAACAGTTTCGTAACTGTACACACCCCACGGTTGGGTTTGAATTGGGTTTTCGTAACTGTACGCACCGCACGACACTAGCACTGCGGTTGTTCACGCACGTCCTTGCGATTTTGGGCCCAGCTTCAGGTTCAAGTTGGGACTCGGTGAAGTACCACTAGCTCTTGCAATCGATTTTTATGGCTTCTTAGTTATAAGTAGCCTGTTAGAACCGTTAACTTAGGTCATTAATTTTTCAATTTAGAACGTCGCGTTCTAAATTTTTCAATTTTGGACGGCTTGGACGTCGCGTGACGCTGCGGCCTGCATCGCACTCAGCAGCCTCCTCCCTGAGTCAGAGGAGGTCCACTTCACTCAGGTTCGCACCGCTGCTGCGTACCTCACTGCGATTAAGGCCCGCTACTCTACTCCCGCTACTGTCTCTCTTGGCCGTCTTTTCCTCCCGTTCCTGTTTCCTGATCTCGCCTCGTTTGAGCGCTCTGCTGACTTGATCGCTCACCTCCGCTCGCTCGACGCTAGTTACCGCGCTGCTTGCACTGAGGCACAGCTTGCACTGCTTCCTCCCCCCATGGCGATTACTATCTATTTCATCGCCACTAGCCTCCCTGACCGCCTTGCCTCCGTACGTGACGCGCTCCTGCTGAAGCACCCTAGTGAGCTGACAGTTGAGGTCCTTGAGTCTGCGCTCAAGGACGTCGAGAGCAACCTTCGCTCGGTAGCTGCCGCCTCTGGTGCTGTGCCCCCCCCACTCTTCCACGGGTGCACGGTCCCGCAGTTACCCACCTTCACTGCCTCTCTTGCCACTGCCGCTACTGACGCGACTGCAGCTGCTGTTACGACTGCGTCGCGGTCCCGCGGCAAGGGGGGCAAGAAAGGTGGTTCTGGTGGAGGTGGAGGCGGAGGTAGCGGAGGTAGTGGGGGTGCTGTTGCGACTGGCGGTGGTGGGAGTGCAGCGTCTGGAGAGACCTCTCGTGCAGCGGCTGGTGACTCCACTGCGCCTGCTGGTGGTGGCGACACCCGAGCTCGTCAGTCGTCTCCTGTACTGCCGGCCCCGCTAGGTGGAGCAGCGGCGTGGTACCAGGCTCAGCGTCAGCAGCGGCTTCAGCAGCAGCAGCAGCCCCTCTCCTCCCAGCAGCCTCAGCAGCAGCAGCGTCAGCAGCTGGCTCCGGGGTCGGGGCTGCGTCAGCCCCAGCGTGGTGCTGCTTACCCTCCCTGCACCTATCAGGTTCTGACAGGTCCTCGTCGGGGCCACCCTTGTGGCCGCTTTCACCCCCCTGGTCAGTGCTTTGCTCAGCTCACTGACACGGTCCGGTTGGCCTACGGGGTTGGCGGTCCTGCCCTTGACTGGCTTCCTCTGGTTCAGCGCTACGGCTCCGCTCTGTGGGGCATGTCTGCTGAGCAGTTAGTTGATCTGATTGGTGCTCCTCATGCTATGTATGCTGTTGTTGACTCTAGTGTTTCTGACTCTGCTTACTCTGGTGTTGTTAGCTTAGGTGCTAGCCTTGCTCAGTTGCCTGTTGCTAGTGTAGGTTCTTGTGTAGACTCTAGTCCAGCGGCTACCTCAGAGGACGGTTTGCTGTCGTTCACGCTGGACTCTGGAGCCTCTCACTGCTTCTTTCGTGACAGCACGACACTTACGCCTCTTCCTGCGCCTGTTTCTGTGGCGCTGGCTGATCCCACTTCGGGACCAGTCACCGCGCGTCACACTACCACCTTGCCGTGTCCGGCTGCTCCTTCTGGGTCTCTCACTGGGTTTCACGTCCCCTCGTTCTCCCGGAACTTGGTGGGCGTGCGACCCCTTGTGAGTCAGCACGTGGGTGTGTGGTTTGAGCCTTCTGGAGAGACTGCGGTGTGTGTTGACGGGGACTCTTACCAGCCTCTCGCCACTTTTGCTGCTGAGCCGGGCTCCGGTCTCTACACTCTTCACACTGGCCCGCGCGCTCAGCAGCGACTGCAGCAGCAGCAGCAGCAGCCTCAGCAGCGGCAGCAGCAGCAGCCGCAGCCACAGCGGCCGCCGTCGCAGCAGCCACTCCTCCCAGTTCCTGTCCCTCCCCCTAGTCTCCTCCCTGCGTCTCACCAGGTGGTTCCGTCCCCTCAGGTTGTCGCGTCCAGTCCAGTCGCTGCGTCTTGCTCCTGTCGGTCGCTTGCCCACCCCACCGTTCTGTGGCACCACCGGATGGGACACCCTTCTCTTCCACGTCTGCGTGCTATGTCTAGTCAGCGTCTGGTCTTAGGTCTCCCGCGTGTCTTGCCGTCGCTGCCGCCGTCCCTTGCACCACCGTGCGGTCCTTGCGTCGAGGGTAGGCTGCGTGCCACCCCTCACTCCTCCTCCCTTCGTCCGGCCACCGAGCCTTTTGAGACGCTGCACTTGGACGTCTGGGGCCCCTCTCCTTGCCCTGGCCCTGAGCGTGAGCGTTTCTTTTTGGTGGTCGTTGACGACTACTCCCGCTATACCACAGTGTTCCCCCTGGCGAGGAAGTCTGAGGTGACTTCTACGCTGATCAGGTGGTTGCTTACCACCCAGGACACTCGTGGTCGTCGTGTCAGCTGTCTCCACTCCGACCGCGGGGGCGAGTTTCGCTCCGGCATTCTCGCTGGATTCTGTCGCGAACAGGGCATTCGTCAGTCCTGGACGCTTCCGGAGTCCCCACAGCAGAATGGGGTTGCTGAGCGTCGCATAGGCCTGGTCATGGAGATTGCCCGCACCTCCTTGACTCACGCCCGTGCCCCCCATTTCCTGTGGCCATACGCAGTCAGGTACGCCGCGCACCAGCTGAACCTCTGGCCACGCGTCTCTCGGCCGGAGGCTTCACCGACCAGTCTTTGGACAGGGTCCCCTGGTGTCGCGTCGAGGTTTCGTGTCTGGGGGTGCTTGGCTCTTGTCCGCGACACCTCCGCGGACAAGCTCTCGCCTCGCGCCGTTCCTTGTGTCTTCCTTGGTTTCCCTGAGGACTCCTCTGACTTCACCTTTTACCACCCTCCCTCTCACCGGTTCTTTGACTCCCGTGACGTCCGTTTCGAGGAGTCCACCCCGTACTACGTCAGGTACCCCAGTCGAGGTCTCCCGGTTCCTCCTCCCCCCCTCTTCCTGACAGCCGCTCCCCCGCCTGCTCCCCCGGTACAGCCTCCCCCCCTGGTCCAGCCCCGTCTGGTGTGTCTCAGGCCAGCCCTCCCCCTTCGGTAGCCCCCCCTGTACAGCCTCCCTCCCCACAGTCTTCCTCGCCGCCTCCTGCAGGTGCTCCCTCTCGGGAGGTTGGTCCTGCGACTGTCCCTGTACAGGTCTCTGATCTGGGGGTGCTGGTGCGGAGCTGAGCCGCGGGTTGCAGAGGACTCTTGTCTTCCGGGGGCTGGTACTGGTCGTGCGGAGTCTGGGGGTGCTGGTGCGGAGTCTGGGGGTGCTGCGTCTGGGGGTGAGGGTGTCCCTTCGGTTTCTGGAGAGCCTGGGTCTGGAGCTGGTGTTGGTGCTGCCTCTGGGGGTGGTGTGCTTGGTGCTTCGGAGGTCGACTCTGGGGCTGCCGCTGCCCCGGACACTACTCCTTCCCCCCACCCCTACCCGACCAGGTTCCAGGCTCGTGTTCGCCGTGCTCGTGAGGAGCAGCTGGAGTTGGAGAGAGAGGAGAGAGAGTTGCAGCGGCTCGAGGAGCAGGAGCGACAGCAGCAGGAGCAGCAGCAGGAGCAGCAGCAGAGGCAGCAGCCGCTGGAGCAGCAGCAGCCACAGCAGCCGCAGCAGCAGCAGCAGCAGCAGCAGCAGCAGCAGCAGCTGCTGCCGTCTCCTCCTCCTGTCTCGGGTCTTCGGACCCTTGGTCTCCCGTCTCCCTCTCCTTCCTCCTCCCCCTCTCCTCCCGTCTCTGGTCCTCCGCTTCCTCCTCCTGACCCCTCTCCCGCTGTTTTCCCTCGTTCTCAGTCTTCGTTGTCTCCTCCTCCTTCTCAGACTTGGGCCTCTCGTCGCTCCCCTCGTGCTCGTCCCTCGTCTCCTGTTCCCTTCACTGACCTTCGTACAGCCTTCCTTTGTTCTCGTCCACCTCGTCCGTCTCCGTCTGTGCTTCCGTCTCCTCCTGAGTCGGCCCTCACTGTGTCGCTTCCTTCTCCTGTCACTGACTACTACCGCACGTACCGTCCTGTTCTCTCTCGTGTTCTCGCCTCTCTTGTTACCCACCCTCGTGCCTCTGTGTCCTCTGTGTCCGCTCTTACTGCCGCAGTCACTGAGTTTGCCTCTACCCGCCGCCTTGACTTCGCCACCGCTCTTGTGGCAGCTCCTCCTTCCAGTCCTCTGGCCGTTGGGGGTGTGTCTGCCCTTGGCTGTGACGCCCTAGAGGACAGGCAGTTTGAGCTAGAGTTCCTGGCGGCCGCTTCCCCTCATCTCTGTGCCATGCTCCTCGCCCCTGAGGGTGACCCCGACGCCCTTGACATTCCCACTCCTCGCACTTACGCTGAGGCAGTGTCAGGGCCTTGGGCCTCTCAGTGGAGAGCTGCCATGGACGCAGAGATGGCCTCCTACAGATCCACAGGCACCTACGTCGATGAGGTTCCCCCTCCGGGGGCGAACGTAGTCGACGGCATGTGGATCTACAGGGTGAAGCGGCCACCGGGATCTCCTCCGGTCTTCAAGGCGCGCTACGTGGCTAGAGGTTTCAGTCAGCGCGAGGGAGTTGACTTCTTTCAGACCTTCGCGCCCACCCCGAAGATGACCACTCTTCGGGTGTTACTACACGTAGCAGCACAGAGAGACTACGAGTTACACTCTCTCGACTTCTCTACTGCTTTCCTTCAGGGCAGTCTTCACGAGGAGGTCTGGTTGCGTCGTCCCTCTGCCTTCACTGGCTCTTTCCCTCCTGGGACCCAGTGGAGGCTGAGGCGACCGGTTTACGGTCTTCGTCAGGCTCCTCGTGAGTGGCACGACACCCTGCGTTCTACCCTGTCTGACCTTGGGTTCCAGCCGTCTTCTGCTGACCCGTCGCTGTTCGTTCGTCGTGGCCCCACACCTTTCTTTGTTCTGGTCTACGTTGACGACCTTGTTTTCGCCACCCCTGACAGGGTTGCTTTGGCACACGTGAAGTCCGAACTGCAGAAGAGACACACCTGCACTGATCTTGGTGAGCTGTGCCACTACCTTGGCCTGCAGATCACCAGGGACAGAGCTGCTCGCACCATTACACTTTCACAGTCGCACATGGTGCAGCAGGTCCTTCAGCGGTTCGGGCTTCAGCACTCCACAGTACAGCGCACACCTCTTGCTGTTGACCACAGACTCACTGGACCCTTTCCTGACGAGCCGTTCGAGCCTAGTGGTCCCTACGCAGAGCTTGTGGGTTGCCTCATGTACCTGATGACTTGTACTCGCCCGGACCTCGCCTTCCCTCTCAGCGTTCTTGCGCGCTTTGTTGCGCCAGGGAGACACCGTCCTGTTCACTGGACAGCAGCTGTGAGGGTGGCGAAGTACCTAGCGACGACGTCAGGCGTGGGGCTAGTTCTTGGAGGGCAGCAGTCTGTCGTACTTACTGGTCACTGTGACTCCTCTTACGCTGACGACGCTGAGACTCACAGGTCTACTCAGGGGTACTGTTTCAGCCTGGGTTCTGGAGCTGTTTCCTGGCGGTCCACGCGCTCCTCTTCGGTCTCGACCTCTACAGCTGAGGCTGAGATCTACGCTGGTGCCATGGCGGCACAGGAGCTGCGTTGGTTGACCTTCTTGCTCACCGACCTTGGTGAGCGGCCGAGCTCTGCACCGACCTTGTTCACTGACAACAAGGCGTCTATTCTCCTTTGTCGAGAGCCACGACTGGAGAGCAGAGTGAAGCACATTCACGTCAGGTACTTTCTTCTGCGAGAGTTGCAGAGGCGTGGACAGGCTCGCTTTGAGTTTGTGGAGTCCGAGGCCAACACTGCAGACATCTTCACCAAGGCGCTTCCGCCTTGTGACCACCAGAGGTGCTGTGTGCAGTTAGGCCTTGTTGACACTGGTTCTCGTGTTGCTTAGGCTTGAGTGTACTGTTTACTTTGCTTTCTATATACCTCTGTTACTTCTTGGACTGGCCTTGTGGCCACTGTTGTTTGTGCTCAGACTGTGTGGTGACGTTGTGATCCACCCTGAGCTTCGTTTCTTGGACTGGTCTTGTGACCGTACTCGTTTGGTTCTGCTAGACACCCCTCACTTAGGCTATGGGGGTGTGTCAAATGTTGTAGCCTATAGTGAGGTTTGTCTTAGGGGGTACAAAACTTAGGGTTAGCTATATGTACCCCAACCAACATCAATGCATCATCCATTCCTCATTCTGACAGAGAAATAGGGGTCACAAGACCAGTCAGGGCAAAGCAAGGCAAAACAAGCTCAGGGTGGATCTCGAGGATTCCACACAAATTCCGAGCACAAGCAAGTGGTCACAAGACCAGTTCACATACAGGTTTATAATAGAGCAAGAGGTACAATGATCACAACCTAGCAAGAGTAAACATGCAGGTATATATATATAGAGATCACAGTACACACAGAGTCAAGAAGTAAGTAAGTGAGGTCCAGTAGGCACAAGGCCTAGAAGAGTGCAAAAACGCTGATGGTCACAAGGCTGAAGCGCCTTGGTGAACACATCAGCAGTGTTGGCCTCAGTGGCCACGTAACGAAGACGAAGCTGGCCGCGCTGCTGCAGCTCTCGAGCAAGGAAGTACCGCAGGGCGATGTGCTTCGTTCTGTGCTCCAGTCTGTGCTCCTCACACAAGGCAATGGCAGCCTTGTTGTCGACGTACAGCACTGGAGGAGAACGAGGTCGCTCTCCCAGGTCGGTCAGCAGGTAGGTCAGCCAGCGTAGCTCCTGGGCCGCCATGGCTGTGGCGTAGATCTCAGCCTCACAACTGGAGCTGAGAACAGAAGAAGAACGCGTAGAACGCCACGAGACAGAGCCAGAGCCAAGGCTGAAAGTGTAACCTTGAGACGACCGCTGAGTAGCCTGGTCGTCCGCCCAAGAAGCGTCTGAGTGTCCAGTGAGCACAACTCGGTCTCGCCCTCCAAGCACTAGCCCCATGCCCGACGTACTGCACAAATAGCGCAACACCCTCTTAGCAGCATCCATGTGCTCCTTCCTGTGACGGCCAGGAGCGACATAGCGTGCAAGGATGCTAAGAGGGTATGCAAGGTCAGGTCGAGTGCAGGTCATCAGGTACATGAGGCAGCCCACAAGCTCTGGATACGGGCCACTCGGCTCTACGGACTCATCCGAAGGCAGAGCTGAGAGCGAGTGACCGGTAGGCAGAGGAGTGGACTGAGGCGAGGAGTACGTGAAGCGGAAGCGCTGGAGAACCTGCTGCACCATGTGTGACTGAGTCAGGGTGATGGTGCGCCGTGCTCTGTCCCGGGTGATCCGCAAGCCAAGATAGCTTGTCAGCTCACCCAGGTCTGTGCACGTGTGTCTCCTCTGCAGCTCCGACTTCACGTAGGCGAGTCCCGCAATGTCAACAGTGGCAAAGACCAGGTCGTCGACGTACACTAGGATGTAGAACGGCGACAGCGAAGTGTCGGTGCGCAGAAACAGCGACGGGTCAGCAGTAGAAGGCGCGAACCCAAGAGCCGCAAGTGTAGTCCTCAGTGTGTCGTGCCACTCACGTGGAGCCTGCCGGAGACCGTAGACTGGCCGTTGAAGCCTCCACTGGGTACCAGGAGGAAACGACCCAGTGAAGCCAGGAGGGCGGCGCAGCCAGATCTCCTCGTGTAGGCTGCCCTGCAAGAAAGCAGTGCTGAAGTCAAGTGAGTGAAGCTCGTAGTCGTGCTGAGCGGCTATGTGCAGCAGCACCCGAAGAGTCGTCATCTTCGGGGTGGGGGAGAAGGTATGAAAGAAGTCTACTCCCTCTCGCTGACTGAAGCCTCGAGCAACGTAGCGCGCCTTGAAGACAGGAGGAGAACCCGGTGGCCGCTTCACCCTGAAAATCCACATGCCACTGACGATGTTCGCCCCAGGTGGGGGAACCTCGTCGATGTAGGTGCGTGTGGACTTCCAGGAAGCCATCTCTGCGTCCATGGCTGTCTGCCACTGAGAGGAGTAGGGACCCGCCATCGCCTCAGCGTAAGAGCGCGGGGTCGGGATGTCTGGTGCATCCGGGTCTCCCTCAGGGGCAACTAGCATGGACACGAGATGGGGCAAAGCAGCAGCAAAGCACTGGAACTCCTCCTGTCTGTCCTCAAGGACGTCCGTGCCAAGAGCACACTCACCCCCGACGGACGGAGGACAGACAGACGCAGACTCAGACTCAGCAACAAGGCTAGCAGCGTAGTCTAGGCGACACCGAGCAGCAAAGTCAACCAACTCAGCGACCAGAGCAGACGCAGCGGCGGACTCAAAGGTAGGGTCAGTGACAACGGTGGCGAGGAGACGCGTGACAGTGGGACTGGCAGCACGACGGGAGTCAGACTCCGGGTCAGGAAGAGTAGGTAGAGAGGACGCAGGAGGAGACGGTAGGGGGACACGCTGAGGAGCAGTGGAGGGACGCAGAGTCATGTAGTGAGTGCCAGGGACAGGAGGAGGACGCTCACGCGGGACATGACAACCAGGACAAGCAGTACGAACAGGCGACGCTGGACGAGACTCAGGCTGACGACGCTCTGTAAGGCCTCCTGTGGGACCAGTGTAAGGAGAGGGACCAGGAAGAGGCGAGGCAGGCGGGAACTGTGACTGCGACTGGACAGGCGGAGGACACTCTACGGAGGGAGGAGGACAAGGAGGAGGAGCCTGACCAAGAACCTGCTGAAGGAGCGGTACAAAGTACGGTCGCGGCCGCGCAGCGTCTCGAGAACCAGCAGGGACAGCAGCGCCAGGGTCCTCAGCACCAGCAGCAGCTCCACCGCCCGAGTCCTCAGCACCAGCAGCAGCTCCACCGCCCGGGTCCTC